GCGGCGACACCGCGAAGGTCTTGAATATTCAACGAGCCGGTCAGAAAGGGACACGGACAGCGAGAGGGAGGGGGAAGGCACGGAGTAGGCGAGAGAAAGAGGGCCGAGTTCTCGTTTCCGAGTGTCGTCGGACGGATTCGACAACGGATCCGGCGACGGAACTGTCGGAACTCCGCGACGGGAGTTGTCTTTCGTATTTTAAGGCGTGTTCGGAGAGACGAGGCGGCGATTCCTTCCGTCAATTACGGGCGTGCCCCGAAATGGACGGATAGATGCTTCTTCGCAGGGTAGTTGGTCCCTCGGCCTCGCGCTCCTTCGTTCTTTCTCTCTCTCTCTCTCTCTTTCTGTCCAGTCTCGCCGTTGATCAGTTTTGAGTAATGAGTCGCGAGGAAAAAATTCCGCGAGCCGATATCGGATCCGGTCGTTCGACATTCAAATGGGGCATTCTTTTTAAACAGAGCGAACCGCGATTACGATCAATCGGGGATGTATCTATCGCCGGTGGGAAATGGAAATTTTCCGCGGCGAGCGCGCGCGCGCGCACACACACGCGAAGAGCGAAGGACGGGAGGAATCCCGCTCGTCTTTTTCGTCCGCGCGGAGAGAGCGATGCGGCGCTCCCGCGCGCGCAATCTCGGACGGGCCCGGATTAACGTCGGTTAATGCGCGATCAGGTAACGTCTCATTGACGGGAAAAGGGCCGCTGAATCCGGCCGGCGTCTCGTTCTACCTTGTAATCGTAATAATGTTATCGCGTGTAATTACACACAACGGGGGATATCGGAGTCGAGCGCGCGCGCGCCCGTCTCGTCCCATTTCGTCTCGTCTCGTCGCGTCTCATATCGTCTCGTCTCGTTGCGTATCGCGAAACCGGTCGATCCGGTGTTATCCGCGCGCCAGCTTCCCTCGTTACATTGTATTAACTATCGTATTATTGGCGCGATCGACGCCACAACTTTTTGGCCATTCCGCGGCGCGCGGCCGCGTAATTGAGGCACGTTATTGCCGACGGCCGGAACGTTCGAGTTACGGGCACGCGGATCGTTAATTTAGAGATTTACGTCAGACGAAACGATTCCTTCTCAATTATCCCGTAGTTTTGACTCTCTTTCGTTCATCGCGTGAGTGGAGGTAAGCTTTTCCTCCGATTTCTTACCTTTCTCTCTCAGTTCAGATCCAAATCACGAGCCATTTTCTTCGGGATTCGTTTTAACTTTTTCCCAAACGCGCATGCGTGATATTAAGTTTCTAACGGTTAGATGGCTCGTTGAAATTTCGCGAGGAGAGAGAGGAGAGGGCGAGGAATCCGATCGGAAAACGCGACGATTCAACGAAAGTGGACACGCGGACGTTTCTCTTTCCGTATCTGGGAAATTAATCGCGCGGACGATTCTCCGACGGGTTTGCGAAATGACTTGTTCAGTTGAGCGATCGTCGGACTCGATACCGGCTGTATACCAAAGGCAGTATCACTCGGGGCTCTCTCGTGGCGGAGAGCAGATCGCGTCTTCGCGAGAGTGATCGTTGCAACGTGAATCGACCGTGATTTTGAGTCGATCGTCTCAGTACTCGCGTCGGGATCCGCGAAACGGTCCTCGCGCGGCGAAACCCATTTCGTATCTGATTGTGTACGTAGCCTAGCCTCGTGTACGATATTACTCAAAGTAGCTCGTACAGTTATAGCGTCGTCTGTAGACATGATGGGAAGAGGTAAAGGCGAGAATTCGAAAAGAACCCGCCGATGGACGCGCGATAGGCCTTAAGGTGTGCTTGCACAAAAAGATGATGTTTTTACTAGAAGTTCGATAATCGTCGTGAAAGTAGAGACGAAAGTTGCGGGACCGCCGAGAGCGCGTCTCGATATTATTTTGTACATAATCGTTGTATCATAGTGCATACGTACGGGCTATACCGGATAGAACGCGTGATTAACATTGTCGCCGATAGCGATCGTTATTTTACCGTCGTATTGTCATTAATGCGTTACATATTATTATTACGAAGCGGACAATTATTTTTATCACCATTTCACCGCTATTATTACTATTATTATTACTATTATTGCTATTATTATTATTATTGATTATTATTAATTATAATTGTATTAATATTATTATATTTAAAAATCACGCACGAGCCAGAGAGATGTGGGAAAAATATAAAAATTGAAATACTCGAGAACCGCGCGTGTGTACATGTGTTTGTGATCCGCCACATATCCCGAAGATGCTCACTCTTTCCTCCCCTTCCTCTCCGAAGTATTTCAATCTTTAATCCCCACGTTTTTTTATCTTTCACTGCATATGCTCTCCTAATTAATATTATATATCGTTCAAGCAGATCGAGTGCGAAGCGACGAGACTGCGAGAATGCACAGCAATTATTCGCCGTAAATGACACCAACCTGTAAACCCGATCTGTCGTATCCCGCACCGAGTCTACACGTATAACACGGGAAAGAAATGAACAGGTACCCAAATCCAGTTCCTTTCATCCTACCGTCTAACTCACTTATTATTACCGTTTAATGTGCGCGTTAAATTTCGCCGTTCCAAGTGCTCTCTCCTTTGAGAGAGAGAGAGAGAGAGAGAGTCCGATCGAATCGATCGATTGAGGGGGGAAGGTGATGTCGAGATGCAACGGTCGATCCTCCGCTCCATACGCGAACAACGAACGCAATTGACACCTCAGTCTCACCTTCTCGTGCCTCCTCTCCCAGTCGCCGCGTAGATAGAAGCAGTCGCTTCGACGTCTGACGTACTTTAATATCGCGAACAAAGAGGACGAAATGATCGTGTTGCCTTCAACAAAGGAGAGAGGAGGCAGCGCCGCCGACTCACCTGCACTCTCGCCGGGCGAGGATCGTTTCTCGGAGAGCAGGTACCATAGGTAATGCAGTCTTTACTCATCCGGCTGTTGCCAGCGTTGTAGCGACCTCGTTCCATCAACTTCTACGCTCCCTCTAGCTAGCTATCTCCTTCGTTTCCTCTTTCCCTCCACTCTCACCGTCCTCTCTCCCTCTCTGTCTCTTTTTCTCTATCTTTGTCCCTTTCTCTCTCTCTCTCTCTCTCTCTCTCTTTCTCCTCTGTCTCCCTTTCTCTCTCCATCTTTCTCTCGCCCTCGGCCCTCAGGAAAACTCAACCCCCTACCCCCGATACCAATAAGGCTGCCGCCTCCTCCTCGTTTCCACCTCCTGGTCTAGCTGGTGCTCTCCCTCTCTGCTTTTCACCCCCCCTTCTTGCGCCCCCAGCCCACTTCCCTCACACACCCGCCTCGACTCTTTCTCTCCCCCTTTCGCTCCCTCAAGCAACCCTCCGGCGTACCCTAAAGCCTCACTTCCATCGGAGAGCCAAGCCTCTCGCGCGCTCTCTCGCCACGGCATTGTTGCTATCGATTCGGACTTGGGAACGTGTTTTTCTTCGGATATTTCGTGGCTACCGTCGGTTACGACCGCCGCCGCCGCTCGACCGGATAACGAGGATTCTAGGAAGGCGCCCAACCTCGTTCGTCCCCCTTTTCCGTCTCTTTCGCCAGCTCTTTCTATGTTTCCGCGTTACCACCTCCGCCGCGTTATATTCGCCGCGCTTAAACGCGCCGCGCCTCCGTGATAAATATTTGGTTTTACGCGCGAATCTCGCGCGCGTCCGCCTCCCCCTCCCCGCTCGTTCCCATCTTTTTTCCGCTCCTCCTGAAATCCCCCCTGTCCCACCTTTTCCGCATTTTTGCGCGGTCCGCGATACCCGGGCGGGAAATAACCTCGCGATAAATGGCCGCGCCGAAAACCGATGTAGATCCGAAAGTGGCGCGTGCAATAAAATCGGCAGGTTACATTATTACGAATAGTTTCAGCCGGCGAGTATTTCCCGACCGCTGTGTTGCAAGTAGGAAATATCGATCGCCGCGGGCAGGACGCTCTGTGCGACGAGTGAATTCACGCGCGACTCATTTTCCGGATTAGAGGATTTTTCAGATTTTCACGTTTCGCCCTTCCGACGCTTGCTTCGCGCGCGCGTACACATTTTAGATTTACGTCATCTCTCTGCGCAAACATTACGAAATTATCGAGCCTGCGGCAGCGAGGGAGGGGAGGGCTGGCGTGAGAGGAACGCCGCGAATGTTGCGGTGGTTACGAATCTCCCAATTTGCAGCGGAATCTCTTTTCGTCGCGCCGCGAATTACGTGCTTCGCCTTATCGGTTTTCGGTCACTTCGCCCCCGGTGTGTCCGCTCGTTTATCGGCGCGCCAGTCGCGATCTGACAACTCGATATGGATAAGTCGCCGACGGAGTTTGACGCGATGAGAAACTCCCATTAGACTCGATGGCCGTAAGCTGCGTTCCGTCAGAGATAGACTCGAACCACTTTCGTCGTCTTTGTTACGCCGAGACGTTCGCCGACTTGGCTTCGATTGTTCCGCCATTGAGGAGCCCGTGCCACTTTACGAAGCTGACACGTCGCTGCAAATAGACAACCGGG